TGATAAGCAGCTGGTCTTAATAATTTATCTGACTGTTTGATTTGTGCGTTTGGAAAACAACTGATTCTGGATAAATGATCATTCAAACCCTGTTTTGGATAAATTTTTTAGCAATTTGGTTTGTGCATTTTGTAAACAGCTGATTTGCAGATTTTTTTAGTTAAATGAACAATCTGTCACGAAGAAGTTGTAATTTTCTCAACAAAACAATAATGTATATATGTTAGATATTTTAGAACCAATTAACCCCCTTCAGACTCATTCGACACATACAGACCACCCAAAAAATGCAACATAACATTAATTTATATGGAAAGTGACAAGCTTGTAAAATTAAAGTTCAAAATGTTAAGGCAAGAAAATACAAAAGAGTTTAGTTACATTTATATAACTCAAAAAATTTTGATCACATCAACGTATACAAAAGTGAAATATACCTTCACATAATAATATAGAATATCATGAGACCAAAAAAAAAAGAAAAATAACATGTTAAAATTACAAGGAAAAAAAATTACAATATTAACTTTAATATGTAGAAGCATATCACGAAGAATGTTACCAGGTTCTGACACCTCAGAACCCCGAGCAAACACATCCGACTAGGATATCGTAGAAACAGAAGCGCTCGAACCACAAGTGGTGTTCTCAAGTTGTGGCACCGTCGAACTCCGAGCGACGGTGTCCAGTTGGGATATTATAGAAATGAATGTATTGTCGGTCCATCGAAAGAAATTGCAGTCTTCCGGTTTGTGTGCCCACCGCGGGCACCTGTAGAATTGTCGTCCTCAGTTATGTGGTTGTCATGACGTGAGTAACAAGGACGGTAGCCCGCAGCGGCACATCACCTGCTCGGACTTCCCTGAATATCTGGAGTTCATCGTCCTGCAATTATTAAAAAAATATATATATTAGTCACAAAATATAGGAAATAAATAAAATCTACTTATGTAATTGTAGAGGCAACGAATGCCGACAATGAAATTTTATGGTCATCCAAGCTGCTCCACAGAAAGATAGGGAAGAGGAAGAGAAAGAGGGGGGCAGAGAGAGAAGTGGAGAGAAGAGGTCAGCCTTCTCACCTGAATGAAAGCTACTGACCCCAATACCCCAGTACAGGTTACCAGATGCATACAACAGGCATCACTCAAATTTTATCACAAAGCATTAAATTCGAGAGTATCTCATTAAAAAAGTTCCCTTCATGCATCAAAAAGTTAAAAATTTTCATTTGCACTTGTTAGCAGTACTGTATTTCAAGCATAGTATTTCACGTACTGTATTTTTAAGATAATATGTATAGGGTTATTGCCAACACTTTTCTTGATGTCGTTTTTGCTGAACCATGCAACCCATGAAGGCTCCGGAGTTCATTAAGCAGATCAAGAAATACTCCTTTCGTCATACGGAACATATTAAAGAACCGTGTGGAATGACCTCGTAATAACTCACCAACTCATCTATCCCCAATCTGACTCAAAGTCATATAGGGGGTTCGGCCGACGTTTGTAGGATAGTAATAATACAACAATGTAATGATTAGTACGACTTTGCGGATGTGGTTAATTTGTTCTTGATTCATACTACAAAATAATGATAAATAAAATTTATAAACATAATAAATAGAAAACTTCAGAAAATTGTGGCGAAACATAGAAGGTATAATGATAGTAAATACAATTAGTGCATAATACAAGATAAATAAAAAACATAATAGCATCACGAGAAAAAAAAGTGTCAATGACAAAAATATGAAACTGAGTTATAGGAAATAAAATACATAATATCTTAAACATTCAATCATCAATGACAATTAGTGCATAGTACAAGATAAATAAAAAACATAATAGCATCATGAGAAAAAAAAAGTGTCAATGACAAAAATATGAAACTGAGCTATAGGAAATAAAATACATAATATCTTAAACATTCAATCATCAATGAAAGAGCTTAAGTATTTGAGTCGGTATTCTGGTTCCAACTTTATAAAAAACTGTCATATGGTTAAATCTCGTAACAACTTCACGTATTTTAAATAATCTTTTGTTTTCGACTTAACATCAGGATATGTATTGAGGACTTTGAGACATTCCTCAATGGAGCTGTCTTGTGAGGGAAAGACATTGTTTTGCAAGTTTCAACCAGTGTGTCAATGGTGTCTTTGATGAATGCGACTCCTTTAATCTTTTTTGTCTGCCCCGGTACGCTCTGACACGCTTGTAAATTGAACATCTGTGTGGACTTGGCTGGGACCTTCTCCTAACTCACATATATACATGGTTTCCATGTCCAGTGATAAGTCGGCAAACCCGAGATCATTTGGGGTGAGCGCATGAGCTCCTGTTACGACAACCCTAGTGAACATGTCATCCAGCTTCTCCATCAAAACTGGATCAATGCCAAAAAATTTAATTTTTTTTTGTTGACGACACTGCCTAAAACAGATTAAAAATTTTATTAGTGAAATCAATTTAAATTCAATGTGAAATTTGATGCAGGATAAATTAATATTAGATATTTATTTACCTGTAATTTCTCAGTACACTAATCCTCTGGTGCATCAATTGTCAGCTTTTCTGAATCACAATCATTCTCATTTATCCTCTTTTGAGTTTTTTCTATATTTTCCAATATTTTTTTAATTGATCTCACTTGTTCTTTAGTTTCATCCGATCGTAATCATTTCCGGTCATTTCTTTGAATTTAACCATAAGATTTTGTCACTCTTCTTTGTTAAAATACGTGATGGGTCTATTTCCCACCTCGACCTCCCTCAGACATAGATCACACAATATAATAGTGATCTCTCTATCCACATGGTCGATGAACCAGCCTCTTTAGTTTTACTCATTGAACTCTGTCAGATTAACGGATAAGCACAAAATATTTCTTTTCATAGCAATAAATGTCTCAACTGAGAGATAAGTAATTTATGTGGTAGACATGTTAACGCAAATAATATTGATGAAGTATTAAAAAAATATGTTATCCGTACATAGGAAAAACATAAGAATTTCTCTCATCAAAGCCGCATTAACCATAACCAATCTTTGGAATGCATAGGAAAACAAAAATCATTTAACTCTTCAAAAGCATTTTTAATGATGAATATATGTTTATTTGGAGATATCATAATTTCATTATGACTCCTTATTTCAATCAGGAAATACTTTAATAAATAAGGAGAATTTGACATTAGAACCACGCAATTCATTTGTGTTTACATTAGTATAACACTTTTTAAAGCATAGGTAACTCACAAATATGTATACATTGAAATTTAGGTTTTAGATATATAAATCGATATGGATTGCGTGATATATATGTAAAGCTTCCAAAAGATAAAAAGCTAACAAAATACAAGCATAATATCTTCTTTAATACAGTCATTCCGAAAAATTCTTGTAATTTTATCAAGTCAAATCTAATAGCCACAACTTAAACCGCAAGCAATGAGTAAGATCTAGTAATTTCACATCTAAGGGGTTCAGCATGTGCTAAATATAAAGAGCAAAATGACATTCAAAGAATAGATGTGTATATTTTCACTGCGACCCTTAAAGAAAATATATGCATAATGCATATACATCTGTCAACAAGTTAATCTACAATACTAAACCCATTTATAAAAACTTTTTAAATGAATGATGCATATTAAAGGCAATAGCCCTTAAATCAAAGTATTTTACTCCAAAAACATAAAAGAGGAATTTTTGTTAAAATAATTGCCAATATCCTTAAATTTCAAATAATATTCTTCCACGCAATATAAAGTCAGTAAATTGCAAAGAGTATTCCTCCACACAAACAGGACTTAAATTCCAACATATTAGGTTTTTACATTCAATTCTTTGTCAACGCAATCAGGAGATAAATTCCATATTTTCAATCAAAAAAACAACTATGATTTGCAGCTCAACTAAAAAAAATCATCATCAGCATTTCACGAATGATTGTCACTTTGCACATCCACAGAAATTTCTTATCTGTCGCTTTACGGATCCACAGAAAAAAAAACAGAGAAATTCAACCGCATTTCCCGAACGACTACAATGGACGGAGAAGAAAGATGAGACATGTGAATGAAGAGTTATACTTATTGATAAGAAATGCAGGAGTACAAATGTCGAAGAAGAATATGTCGAAGGAGTGAAGATGTCGAAGAATAAAGAGGGAAAACACACCAGATTGTAAGAGGAGTGCTTAGGGCATGTGAAATGCGAAGGAGAAATTTGATATGCGATTGAGGGCGGATGCGTATGAGGGCAGAGTCACGGGAGTAATAATCTGATCAAAAATGCGGCACGGGCACGGGCGCGGGCCGCGTCTTTTACAAATTCCAAAACGTCGTTCCCGATAAGCTGGAAATAAGAGTCTGTTTGGGGCAACTTATTTGGTGCGGTGGCGTTTTGAATACGCGTATGGTATGTTTGGGTAAACTGTGTTTTGGCAGCTTATGCGTTTTCAAAAAGCCAAAAACCGCATTTTCACACTGCACCTATCTGCGGTGGCAACTTTCTAGCAGCGGTCTAGCTTTTCCAAAAAAAATATAAATTTATAATAGTCACCGCACCTAGCTTATCAGCAGATTATTCAATAAGGTGCAGCTGCACCAACCAGACCCTAAGTGCGAACCAAACAAGACGGTGGCGTTTTCAAAACGCCGCCCGCACTTATAAGCTGCCCCAAAGTGGCCCTTATTCTTAATTCAGAGTACTCTCACAATTTAAGGTTACTTCATCGTATCATCTTTTTGCAGTATCTACCATCTTCTGGACATATGGCATGATAGCATGAAATTGAAGCAAAACATGTCGACAAATAACATAGCATAAACACTAAAAATAAAATAATCCAGAACAAATTACAAGTTAATTAGGTCAATTACATGAAGATTTAGGGCTGTTTGGTAGCAGAATTGAATCGAGATTAAAATTAAGCCTACCAAAGGGTAAAAATGACAACTTCAAATCCTACGGAATCATAAATCCCATTCTTACCGTATTGCCGTAAATCCCGGATTTGCTGAATCCAAAAGTTCGGAAACTTTACGCGATATAGCAGTAAAGGTCCGTCGAGCTGTCGCCGCGACTTCCTGGCTTCAAATCTTCTTCGTCCCCGTCGTCGCTACAGTCGTCTTCGCCATCGTGGCTCGGGCTGAAGCCGGACACAGGTCGGATTTAGCTTAATGCGCAAATCTCACGACCTCCGCTTCGCTGGTCCCGTCGACACCTTCTCATTCGCGCGTTCCGCGGTTTAGGGTTCGAAGTTTTTTTCCGAGGCAAGAGAGTTAGGGAAGAGGGGATAATTTAACCTCTATTATAATTAAATTACATTATAATTTGGTTAATTAAATATTTTAACATTAAATTAATTTATCACTTACTAAATTATGATTGATAAATATATTATTTCACCAAAATTTTTATATTTGCGTATACCATTAGACTTTAATTTTATCACACATATATATCTAAAGCGGAAGTTTTATATTTATGTATAAAGTACGTTTTGTAACCCTTCTGTTTTCTTTAATGATCCAGTCCGATCGAGATGTACGTCATCATGATTAGCACCGAGCATGGCATCATGGTCGGTGATCCTGATTCTTTTTATAGATGTCAATGTGATGTATGCGATTTTATATTTAATTTTCTTATTTATAATTTCTAACTCGCAACAAAGCCAAAAAATTTGATCCCAAGCAAAAGCTAGATAATTTCTTAATTTCAAAGCAAGTAATAATACAATTATAATATTTAATATGGGATGTTGCGCAAGTATACGTTTCGTTATCAAATAATATATGACTTTTTGATTAACCCCGAATATCGAACCCACGGGGAAAATATAATAGCAATATGCACTTTAGAAAATTTATAAAATAGGAGAAATTATATAACAAAATTCTGCTTAGCAAAATATTCTTACTTAAACTCTAGATACTAAAATAGGAATGAAAGTTCGCATTTTTTTTAAAATTTTGATAATTGAGAATAAAGTAACAACTTACTAACTTAACTAGATATTTGCAAGATGAAAGCAATATAAATAAAATATTTTTTTTTATCATTACTCGGTAACAAGTATAAGAATTTTATTGTGGAAGTATCATAATTGTGTTATGTCAAATAGGAGCAATAATATTATTTACACTTACTAGAGATTCTATAAAGAACATTGGTTAATCTATAGTTTGAATAGTTTTGAAGATGGGTTAGGTAATGAATATACTAGCTCTCACACCTAGCTCTCACACTAGAGTTTGTTTCCTCTTCTCCCTCCCCTTGGGGGCTAACATCTCGTATCAAAACCTAAAACTATAAATCAAATCGGGGGTTTTAGTCTATCACTTTAAAGTCATCTAATTCTACACCCTTCAATGTTTATTTTTCTATTTATTTGCACTCAACCACAGGAACTAAATTTTCATCTATGAAATCAAATGTGATTCTCACAATTTGTTGCCTGAGACAAGATCATATCAGATCTTACATGTTCTCCCAACAGGTATTGACATCTTAATTGATCAATTCAATAAGTAAATGAAGTAAAGTATAATATTGTGAGAATCATGTTAAAGTCTAATATTTCACACAACTTTCCTCTAATACTTAATCACTTATCATTTTAAGGAAA